AAAGATATAACATGTGGTTGGTGAACTTGAAAGATATAACATATGCCTGGTGAACTTGAAAGATATAACATATGGTTGGTGAACTTGAAAGATATAACATGTGGTTGGTGAACTTGAAAGATATAACATATGCCTGGTGAACTTGAAAGATATAACATATGGTTGGTGAACTTGAAAGATATAACATATGTTTGGTGAACTTGAAAAATATGATGATTTACCACACTGTTTATACTTAACATATGACCAAGAAACTTGAAAGATTTGAGTCACCCGCATCATGACTATAGTCAGTGAACTAATGGTCAAGTACTACCCTTACTTCAGTTGTGGCTAGTTGATTTAATTTACCTTGAGCTGTCTAAGTTATGTTAGGAATACCAATTGCTGAGTAAGGAACCTAGTGAAAGTTACTGTGGTTCGTTATCATTTTGTAATGTGTATTGAATATGTTACAGATTCTTTTAGAGTATGGCTAAGTGGACCTACTGAAAGGTGTGATAGGCTTCTGTTATCATGGAAGGTTATGTTAACAGTGCGTGATCTGTGATCAAAGATCCTGTTACAAATCATTAGAAATATTTTGTTGAGATGTAATAGTAATCTGGTTATTGAATTTTTTTAAATTGATATTTGTATTGTCTCTTACAGCGGCCATTGACCAGGATTTCCTTGATGAACTGATATCCTCAGATAGTAAGATTTATTTCCATTGTGATAAAATTTTTCTCATACAAAGGATTATGATTTTTTTTCTTTTGTTAAAATAAAAAATTTTACATTTATGTACTTGTTAACATTTAGTAACTTTATTTCAGATATATATATACCGTGTTTTTGTTAGAAAGTTTTTTTCCAATTTACAAATTAATGCAGTACACTTAATATTCAAAACTAATCTTTATTATGTTGTTAATTAACTCTCATCCACAAATGATATCATAAATGTTGTTTGTCCAAGGTCTATAACAGAACTCTGGTAGTTAAAAAAAAAATTGATATTTTTATTGCCATCGTAGCTGAAAATAGTACTAAAAACAAGGATGTTCTATACCGATAATCCACTAAAAACAAGGATGTCCTACCGATAATCCACTAAAAACAAAGATGTCCTATACCGATAATTCTGGGTAATTAAATAATTCTAAGTTTAGTCTTGTATATTGATTTCGTTGTTAAGCACTTTTACTTAGTTTCCTATGATATAAGATTATTGTGCTTGCTGAACCACTGCAGTTAGAACCTGCTGGTGCTGACATAAGATTATTGTGCTTGCTGAACCACTGCAGTTAGAACCTGCTGGTGCTGATATAAGATTATTGTGCTTGCTGAACCACTGCAGTTAGAACCTGCTGGTGCTGATATAAGATTATTGTGCTTGCTAAATCACTGTAGTTAGAGTGTGCTGGTGCTGATATAAGATTATTGTGCTTGCTGAATCACTGTAGTTAGAACCTGCTGGTGCTGACATAAGATTATTGTGCTTGCTGAACCACTGCAGTTAGAACCTGCTGGTGCTGACATAAGATTATTATGCTTAAATATTGTTGAAATAATTCTGTTGTTTTTTTGAGTAATAATTTTCCAAATGGTTGGGGAAAATTAAAAGTTTAATTCAGTCACTTGTACCTGTAAAGATTAGGTACGTACTAGGATTAAATTTCTTATAAAGACAGTGTAGTGTTGAGTAAAAATAGTTGTTAGAAAAGGATAAATATTCCGTTTGCTGTCTATACGGTTGTTTAGGTAATACAATTTCAAGTACAAGTAAGAAAAAGTAAATCATACCAAGATGTTTAGTGGAGAAAGGCCACTCATAGGGACTGTACATGAACTGTTCCTCTCAGCTTTTGTAACTAGATGGTTGGTATTTGTACTCTAGAAAAATAAAGGAAATTCTGTTCCTTTTTAACAACCCCCGCGGCTCAGCGGTAGGAGAGAGAGTTTATAATGCTAAAAATCGTTTTTCGTTACCCATGGTGGGCACAGCACAGATAGCCCTTTTGATAGCTTTGGGCTTAACAACAGACAAATATAAGTTCTTTTTAACAATTTATTATTAAATCTAAGATTATTTAACGGGTTCTTAACTAGTGACTACTCGTTACACTGAGTAGAAAAAGATTGTAAGTCAAAGAATAATTACCTTTGATGTAACACTTGCCATTCGGCCAGTTTGATGATACATGTTTCTTATATTTATGAACTAATTATGGGATATTTTGGAATTAGGATAGAAACTAGATCTTGTGTCTGATTTCTTAAACTTCAGAAAGTATTTTGCTCAAAACTATGGAACCAAACTTTCAATTTTAAACACATTGAAAAACTTCAACTTTTGTTAACTCGAGAGTTTGAGCATCCATGCCAGTAGTTTTTTTTTTAACGTAATTCATAAAGTTTATATCCATTTAAAAGGAAGAAAAACTTGTTTCTAGATGAAAGCATAATTTTGTTATCAAATTTTATGGTAAGTTTTGAAAAAAGAATTTTTACTGGTATATAATCTTTGTTGATCTTTTTTCAGTTTTATTTAAATCTTAAATCTATTTAGTTTGTGATGATTGAACTTAGTTGTTTTTTTGTTGTTTTTTTTTGTAGTGTTTTCTCCATTACTGAGGCTTAGCCCACCTCCCAGTGACAGAGACTACTGCTTCAACCTGTGTGACACTGAGGGTGTCTGTGATCTATTTGATGTACATATGATTCCCTTTTGACTTGTAGAGTTGAATGTGGTTTCATTGCATTTATTATTACATAATACCTCATTTTCCTGTTTGAGGAAAGGACACACAAGCAGCAACTGGTTTGTTTCAGATGTCTTTCTGGTCATTTTGGTCAGTGTGAGATATATTTATGTAATGTTACTGAGAAAATTTTGTTAACAAATAGACTCCTGTTTCATCATTTTTTCCACTCATTTTGGACTCTGGATCATTTGCGTCTGAACAATGATGTCGTGAACAACAGAACTCGGTGTGATTAATTCAATGTTAATGGTGGGCACTGTCCGATTAAGTGTCATCAGTACTTCAGGTATTAGCGCTTTTCATCACATGGCATGGTCATGTCAGATATTGATATCAGTTCAGATGTTGTTAATATGGTCACATTATCTGTTTTTGATTCTTTATATGGTCAGTTCAAGTGATATTAAAGAAGAATGTTATATATAACACTGTCGTGAAGTAGGTACCAAATCAATGGTTGACTAAAATATATATATATATTTAAGAACATTTTTTTATTTTGTTTTTCTTGTATATGTAGCTTTTTAAAATTAATTAAGCAGACACGTTGATATTCAGTATATTTGTGTTTTGTTTTAAATGTCCAAGTTTTGTTATCCACTCGGACTTTTTTAGCATTAGGAAGTTTTAATAAACATGCGTTAAAGACGTCTTTAAGCACGTACTGACGGGTGTTATAACTTATGCCATGTAACATCTACACCGATATGTTTTTTATAATAATGATGAATAAGTTTCACATTGTATGTTTTAACAGGAACAGAGTTGTAGTTTTCATAATTGTAGATATAATGGTGAAGTTATAATAATTATTGTAAACACTTTCTGTGGAGAAGGCTTTTCAGAAGATTTTTTCTTTATATATATATATACACACACATACCAGATAGTATAAAATACAAGTTACCATTTCATGGTATTACTAAGGGTAGTTTATCTTTTCCTTACAGTGTTTGCTCCCTCTATCTTTTTTTTTTTTTTAACAACTGGCAGGAAATTAGTTTTCAAAAATAACTTGATAGAAAACAGTTACCATAGGCTTGCTTTAATTCTTTCACTATAAAGTACGTTTTTTTTTGAGGATTATTAAAGTCATGCTTTAGAGATTGGTAATTCAAGTGTACAAACAACAACAAAATTTCGACATATTAAGAATATTTAACCAACACTACAAGTATATTTTCAATCACGATCTTGGGGCAGCATTGAATGTATTAAAATTTGTTTAGTAATCTGATTGAACTATAACAAATATAAAATAGTTAAAATTTGGTAAGAGCCGTAAGGTGTTATGCATAAAACAGGAGTACTCTCCATACGTCGGCTATATTGCATTTATAGACATCAAAGGAGTTATTTAGTTCCTAGTTAGTGATGTAAATATTGCTTGTAAGTTTCCTTAGAGATGTATATAAAAGTAAATGAAAAAAAAACAACATTCCAGAACAGTAAGTATCGGAAAGCATTTTAGTGTCATTCTTCTATACAAACAGCTTAGTGTTCCCGTTGATGATGTAAAGAGTTTGGGTGTAAGTTTTTGGAAGATATTATTAAATGTTCAGAAACAGACATAAAACAACTCACTTTGTGACCCCGGAGAATGGTGGAATATATTCTAGTTTGGGTTTGATGTACAACGCTAGATTTCTGATATCATTAAGCTCCTTTTGTAGGCATCAAAACTATTACTTGTATCCAGGATATATACTTCCAGGGATTCCTGCTAGAAGAAATATATTAATGTCTGTCGAAAGGTAATGGGGAGGGGGGCATTTTGAAGAAGGTCGTAAAAATGACAAGTCAAAAAATTCCATGTCCTGCTTCATCACTTTTTGTAATTTTTTGTCAAGTAGTGCCGAGGCATTTTCCACAAACATGACAATGTGTTACTTGTCTTACAGTTATAATACACAGTGCTGTTTGATACAGTGACCAAAAATAATTAGCCACAGCACTGAACATAATGCAAAGTTGAGCAGTTACCCAAAAATTGGGGTCTCTCATTATTGATTTTCATAAGTGAGTAACGACCTTCAACTATAGAATATCAGGGCAAGTTTTCATGCAATTACAGAATGACTTGGGGGGGGGGGTGGAGAAATCCTTGGATCATCCAGGGGAAAACATTTGTTTACCAGGTATAATAATGGGGTCATGCGAACTGTGACTTCACATCAGATTTTTTTACAACTTAATAAATAAAATATTGTGAATAAATAGATGAATTTGCCTTAACTTAGGTTTTGTTTCCATAGTGCTGAATGGGGAAATTTTACACTCAATATACAGCACAATATGTTGCAGCTTTGTCATCCATAGTTAACCCCATTTGTGAATAAACTAATCAACAAATTAACCTTAACTTAGGTTTTGTTTCCATAGTGCTGAATGGGGAAATTTTACACTCAATATACAGCACAATATGTTGCAGCTTTGTCATCCATAGTTAACCCCATTTGTGAATAAACTAATCAACAAATTAACCTTAACTTAGGTTTTGTTTCCATAGTGCTGAATGGTGAAATTTTACACCCAATATACAGCACAAAATGTTGCAGCTTTGTCATCCATAGTTGACCCCATTTGTGAATAAACTAATCAACAAAATCACCTTAACTTAGGTTTTGTTTCCATAGTGCTGAATGGTGAAATTTTACACCCAATATACAGCACAATATGTTGCAGCTTTGTCATCCATAGTTAACCCCATTTGTGAATAAATTAATCAACAAAATAAAGAAAATTATTTCAAGTATAGATGCACTTAATGATTAAAATATAATCTTCAGTATCCTGAACTTAACCGTAGATTGGTGCTTCATCAGTTATATCAACAGTACTGTAATCATAAGAATATTAGAGTTATTGGTCTGTACAGGATTTTTCTTTTATCAACTACTACTATTTAACTACAGGAGATCGTGGACTAGTCATCGTAGGCCACAACAAATATTTGGAATACGTTTTAAACCTGATAATGAGCTACAAAATCACAGTAAAATAACCTGTAATTTTAAACTCTTCATTCTGAAATGTATACTTTAACAGTGTATCATTTACAGTCTCTTTTATTTAGTTTTGAGAGTAAGATTAGAAACTGAACCTTCACTTTTCCTTGTGATGCCTTAGGTATTTATTAATGCAGTAGAAGTACATAAAATGTTTATATAGTCACCTTTGTTGCATAAACCGAAACTGTTGAGAAAAAACACAGAAATGACTGAGTTGCATATGAGGTATTCTGCATACACAGTTTAAAATATATATATAACTCGTTTGATATATGTTTCTTGTATCTGTACTGAATGCAATGCAGCTTTAGTAACTTACCTTGAATTTTACCTTTAATCGTGTTGCATACATCTCGTTAAAAGTACCTGATGAGTGTTAAAATGTGAACTAGATTGTGTTTTTACTACCATGAAAAAGTCTTTGTTAAACTTTTTAAAACAGTGATGTGTAGGAAGGGGTTTGTACCCCCCCACTAGCAAATTGAAGATGACTGTTGTATGCACAAACAGTGATATTTCTTTGTATAAGTATGTTTAACCTAAGGAGATGAAAACGTGGACCAAAGTTACCATAGTGAAACAAACTGTTGAAAATATGAAGTTTTTTTTTTTATAATATATTAAAATGTGGTCAGTGTGAAGAAATTTAATTTACACATAGCTTACAAAAACACTTAACTTCATCTGATATTTTTTGCTCCTTGACCGATTTTAATTAGAAAATTCATCATTTCTCTGAGTAAGTTATTTAACTCGTTAACTCAAAAAATAGTTAAAAAGTTGTCCAATTGCTTTTTGTATGTTGGAAACAACATATTCTTATACTTTAATAAAGTATTTATTAACTGTTAGTTTAAAATTCTTTATTTTGGCTAAGAAGAAAAGTAAGTCGTAATCTAAACAAGCATACCTCAACCGTTTCCATACCAGAGACTGGTGCTGTCGCCCTAGATTAGCTGGAATCAATAAAATGCAAGTATAATTAAAAACCATTACAGAATATATATATATATGAATATTCTTTCAATTTTTGTTTGTATATTTGTTTTCTGGAAATCCCACAGGCTGGTAAGGTGGCAGTCCACAGACTGAGGGTTGAGAAACACTGATGTAAGCTATTCTGCCACATATAATTGAATACTAAGAGAGATATTTTATACACAAAACAGTACATATAGATCTCCTAATAAGTTCATTTTTAAAACTTAACATTCTTTTAAGAGTTTCTTTTATAATAGCTATAAAACATTAAAATTTGATGTTTTCAAGTTGTAAGGATCATTTTTTGTTCCATGTACATGTTTAGACATGACGTACAGAAAGTTTCAGAATTTGAAGGATTTATATCGTTAAAACATCTCTACTGTTTTTGGTTTGTAAAGGTCCTTTGTAGTTGTTGATTTTAACCCATTACTACATTTTCATTCTACATGATACCTTGGTAAAGTTGAAATGAGTGTGTGTTTTGTGTAATAAAAAATACTGACTTTGTTGCAAGAATTTAGTGATTTCATTTAATAAGACCACTGACGGTTAGTTCCTCGGTGAAACATAATTTTAGTTATTTTTTTTCACTGAAAATTTTACTGTTTAGGTTACTTTTTGTACACAACAAAAACATTACCTTAGGTATTTTGGAGATCAAAAATACCACCATTCTGGTTGCCAATTTTTTTGATAAATGAAATAATCATTACTATTCTGTTTTACTAAAAATGTGTTTCTTTTTATAAAAATATAAATGCCATCTTTATAGTTACTCTGTGATATATTTTACTGAAAAATGCTACCAGCTTTGTTTCTTTATAAAGTAACGTTGTTGGCAGTATGATACACATTTTAGTAAATCTATTACCATTGTGGCTACTTTCTTGATAAAGTTACGTTGTTGGCAGTATGATACACATTTTAGTTAATCTACTACCATTGTGGCTACTTTCTTGATAAAGTTACCTTGTTGGCAGTATGATACACATTTTAGTTAATCTACTACCATTGTGGCTACTTTCTTGATAAAGTTACGTTGTTGGCAGTATGATACACATTTTAGTTAATCTACTACCACTGTGGCTACTTTCTTGGTGAAGTTACGTTGTTGGCAGTATAATACACATTTTAGTAAATCTACTATCATTGTAGCTACTTTCTTGATAAACTTACATTGTTGGCAGTATGATACACATTTTAATTAATCTACTACCATTGTGGCTACTTTCTTGGTGAAGTTACATTGTTGGCAGTATAATACACATTTTAATTAATCTACTACCACTGTGGCTACTTTCTTGGTGAAGTTACGTTGTTGGCAGTATGATACACATTTTAGTAAATCCACCGCCATTGTGGCTACTTTCTTAATAAAGTTACATTGTTGGCAGTATGTTACACATTTTAGTAAATCTACTACCATTGTGGCTACTTTCTTAATATAAGTTACATTGTTGGCAGTATGTTACACATTTTAGTAAATGTGCTACCATTGTAGCTACTTTTCTTGGTGAAGTTACATTGTTGGCAGAATGATAAACATTTTAGTAAATCCACTACCATTGTGGCTACTTTCTTGATAAACTTACATTGTTGGCAGTATAATACACATTTTAATTAATCTACTACCACTGTGGCTACTTTCTTGGTGAAGTTACGTTGTTGGCAGTATGATACACATTTTAGTAAATCCACTACCATTGTGGCTACTTTCTTGGTGAAGTTACGTTGTTGGCAGTATAATACACATTTTAGTTAATCTACTACCATTGTGGCTACTTTCTTGGTGAAGTTATGTTGTTGGCAGTATAATACACATTTTAGTTAATCTACTACCACTGTGGCTACTTTCTTGGTGAAGTTACGTTGTT